ACAGTTCTCCAGCACCCGGTTCTCAGCCGAACTCTTCTCCTGTGCTGGCGGCCCGGGCTCGGACGGTCTCAGACCCCCAAGGCAACGCGGACCCTCTTCAGGGACAGAACCAGAGCGCCTCCACCAGCATCCTGAGGAGGAAGGTGCTGTCCAAGGAGACGGTGAGGTACTACCAGGAGAAGGCCCTCCAGAGGAAGGGCAGCAAGGGCCGGCAGGATGGCAGCCCGTCCAGGCACAGCCACGCTGCCATGCAGATCCCCTGGGAGAAAGAGGTCTCCAAGGAGGGGCTCCTGGGGTTCGGCATGTGCCTGGGTCAGGGGAGAAGCTCGGAGGGGGCTGTGGTGCAGGATCAGGGCCTCCTGGAGGAGATTGACTCCATGTGTTGCCTGGGCTCAGTGCTCCACAGCAGCCTGCAGCTGTCCCAGGTCCACTGCAACAACACCCCCCACCCGCTGCAGAGCAACAACACAGACGAGGCGTAGGGACCTCAAAGACCCTCTGTCTGTGAAACGCCATACGTTCTACTGAAATCTATCCACTGTAATACTTCCACAATACTAGCCACAGTCTCAGAGCTTTTTTATCTCAACACTCAGTTATCAGGAAACATTCTGAACAAATATGATGTCGTACAGACACAAACAGCCTCAGAGCAGAAATGATTTGCACACCTTCCCTTCTTTCAAGACATTTCTGTGTAAATAGAGCCTTGCTTTCTTGATATAAGTGGAAAAACCCTCCACTGTAGTAAGACTATTAGAACTTGTTTCAACCAATAAATGTGTACTTGTTTTTTAAATGGATTTTTTTACTTCAAACCAAAAAAACTATTTAAAAAAACAAGTTCTCTACTTCATTTGAAAAGAAAACAACTTAAAATGCATGTATTTGCAATGTAACAAGTTATGATAATCTCACTACAGTGTGACATTTTTCACTATCAATGCCATTTAGGTACTTTTCCTCTGAGTGAATTGGATACTCTGATAAAGCAAAAACAACTTGTTAGTTTACAAAGTTGTAATTTCTTCCAACTAGTGAATTATCTTAGAGAACCTCACCTCAAAAACACAAACTGAGGCCAAGGTACGGCGAGATTCTTTCACTTGTTTAAAGAAAATACACCTTATTCACTCACTAAGTAACACAAACATCTAAAACTAGATAAGAAGGACATTTCTCCAGTGTTGGGTCTACTGCTCATCAAAGTATATCTGTCTGTAATAATCGACATTTATATTCAAATTCCGGGGAAAAAGGCCCAACAATCCAGCCGGCAATGGAGGATTGTTCCAGCTTCACTTGAACGAAATAAGAAAACTCTCAGTACTTTGTGAGGATTATGAAGGGACGATATCTCCTCGTCACATTATTGTCTGTTTTATTTTGTGTTCCAAACATTTCACGTGATCAAGATACATTTGCACTTGTAGATTTAAGAATTGTACTCAGCCTTGACCACCTGGTACTAAAATCACTGAGCAAAAACGACAGTGAGACAGGATTTGAAACACAAAGTCCACTCTTCTTTTGGAGTTAATGAAACACTGTGTAATCTAACTGTTTTATATCACCAGGCCTTAAATGGACATGTGATTTGTTTTTGATACTCTGGTGTCTTAATCTATACAGGTACTTTGTAATCTTAGATCTTAAATGCAACATTACAGTAGCAGTACTAAAACAGAGTTGTATTTCTCTGGAATAATAGAATAGTTAATATATATATATATAATGTGCTTTAAGCTGCTGTTTTCAAATAGCATTCCAGATAATGAGATGGAGAAACCTCTCTGTGTTCCTCAGGACACATCTCTCTGAAGAGGAGGAAATGATCTCAAAAGTTTAAGAGGATGATCTGACAATACCAGTGTCAATGCTCCATGTCCTTTTCTTTCTTCACCATCATGTTCCTAAGTTTCTGCCTTGTAGTCCTTGCAGCACATCTGACTTGCACTGTCCACCTTAAAAATGGCGGCCATTTTTTTCCGAAGCTACTGTGGTTTGGAGTGGATGTCAGAAAGGTGTACTTTAAAGGATACAGCTGGTGATATATTTATGTGTTTATTTTTGGGAACAAATTACAATGCACCGTGTACTGATTTCCCATACCAAACCAGTACTAATAAGAAAAATAATAGGGACACAAATATGTAGTTTAAGTTCCACCTTACAGCTGGGAACTGTAGTTCTTAGAAAATGGTACTCAAACAGGAGTAAAAGATGCATTTGTTTGGGACAGGTAAACGTATAATTAGTATATATTTAGAAAAATGTCACCAGACATATCCCATAGTGTTCTCTGGGTCTGTCTCCCTTTCTGTGCTCGCAGGAGGAAATGCAATCTCTGCCCTCGGAGGTTAGAGTCACACACTGTAATGCAAAGCAGTGGTTGAAGATTGTACTGTAATGAAGCAATACGGTTCTCCTCAGAGAGAAGCTACATGGATGTAATGTGTACAGAGTCGAAAGTATTTCTGAAAGAGACTCTCCTGTGGAGAGGAACGCTGCGTCCAGAGACTGTGGGTTCCCATCATTCTCTGCGTCGCCACAAACCCGGAGGAAAGAAGAAAAGCTTTTTCATGTGCTTGTGTAGGGATTATTACATTTATGGTTCGTTGTTCTTCTGATTTATGCCAGACGCCAGTCGGTGTGGCAGTTTAATAGTAGCTATTTCTCTGCTTTTTTAGTGCTGCACTGCGTTAACGATTTGCTCATAAAGTCTTTGGCGTGCTTCTAAAAGCCCAAGAAACAGTCCTAGTAATTCCAAAAAGGAGGAGGAAAAAAAAAACAGACTCCAGTAAAATCTCTGCACTGGCCTTACTCATTGTAAACACTTTAAAAAAAAAAATACATATTTACTATGCAAATATTACAAATTATCAAAAGAAAAAGGTCAGTTGTCTTTAACAGACATTATAATGCACAATTCTACTTGAAAAATAATAACAATCAATCTAGTTTCCAGTAGGGGAAGCCTCATGTGTCCGTAAATAAATAAATATGAAAGTCTATTTAACTGTGTGTGAGCTGAGGGTGACAGAAAGTGTGTATGGTGTGCCTTATACAGTAAGAGTACCACCCAGTGTCATTAGAAAGAGGTACAGTATTATAGAAAGGTGTATGCAATGTTTTCAGACCACCTTTTATCAAAGTAAGGAACATTTAGATTGTTTTATTTATATGATAAACAGACCTGGTTTTGTCCTTAGAATCGGAGCTAAATGAACTTGGGTACTAGCGGTGTGTTTGTAGCTGTCTTTGTTTCCATCTGGGCTGCAGTCCAGTGTTTCTGCTGCGGTGGCTGGTGGGAATCTTCCCGCCTGTATTTAATAGAAGATCTTTGAATTACTTTGGGATATTTTTCTCTTTGTTAAATAGATTTTCTTTGAATGGTTCTTTTAAGTGATTATTTGTATCATTTGTGTTTATTTTATTCCTTTTTTTAAAACACTTGTTCTGAGCTTACTCTATTTAAAAAAACACATTACTCCGAGGAGTTGATTCTATATTGAGGAACATTTATTTTCAACTGAATAGATGTGTATTTTTGCTGGCTTGAGTTTATTTTACATGGATAATATATGATTGGTGTTGTACGTTGTAAAGAAAAAATGACACCTAATATTTGAATGTTTTATTTTTGGAAGAAAAAAATAGAGAATATTAACAAATGTCCCGTGTAGCCATTCATGTTGGAAAGCTTTTGACCCCTTCTAATCAGAATCAGCAGAGACTGGCGCTTGCTTGTAAACGGTACAATGCTCATTGTTGTTTCTGCATGTATGTACCTCTTTGTTGTTATTTGTTTTGACAGTCTATTCTGTTGGTATTAATTATTATTTCAGTATTTAGAGCTTCAATCAAATTGAGAATGATGGAAACAACGTTGGGTCTCGCGCTATACATTTATTTTGCCTTGCGATAGGTGTTGTGGACTTACAAGCCATCTGCCTTGCATTTTAAGTATGATAAAACATTTCTACTTCAAATCTAACCGTAGAGGTTTGTGGGAAGAAATACTAATTGTAATAAAAAAAAAAAAAAGGTCCGGTGATTTGCATTTCAATGTCTGCAGATGTGTTAATACTAAGGATAACTAACACTGCAAACAATTGTGTAATCAATAAATAAATAGTGGTCCTGAAATTACAAATTGGAGTGTGGTAGGCGGATGTGTAGCAGCGTTAACTGAGGTACTGATCGAGTGAAAACACTCAACCTCACAAAGATAAGAAAAAGAAAAAGTTGTCATCGTAGTGCCATATTACAGCAACCTTTTTTCAGTCTCTTTTTGGGTATTGTAATGATTATTAACTCTTCGATATGCCATTAACTGATTTTCTGATTCTGTGCACACTTGCATGTTCTCATTTCAGAGAAAACAACTGTCTTAAAAACTGAGGTCAATCTAATGTGCTATTGGTGAGTAACTTGGTACAACTGTATGCACTGTGAACTGAAAATAAATGATACTGTTTCATGCTTATACATCTCCGGATTTGTATTTATACTCTAAAGGGGACCTATCCTGCAAAATCCACTTGTTCATGCCTTCTATGCATCAACAGGTGTCCCCTCTGTGTAAAGAGATTCTGAAAGTTTCAGGACAAAAGATTCACTCACTTTTTGTCCTGATCCATTTATATAAAAACCTGTCTGAAAATGAGCTGATCAGATTTTGGCCACTTTATGATGTCATAATGTATTTTTGGTTTGTGTAACCATTAGCCAATCACCAACCAAGGTAACCCCCCCCCCCCACCTTATCACCTGAATCTCCTCCGAGAGCACCATTGTGTATTGTGTTCTTTTTAACCAAATATCTCTCAGACATGATCTGTTTGGTATTTGGTGCCAAACACTTCAGAGACATGTTGTGTATATATCTGAGTCCTATAATATATTGATGAAAAACATAATAGGGGACCTTTAATGTTGTTTTACATAGAAAGATGCAACCAGGTGTGGAAATAATGTGTGTGTGAATATCTGTTCACTGAATTTATTATTGCATACAAAGAAAGAAAATGCTAATGCTCTCTAACAGTAATACAGTTAGCAACACTAGAAAATACGTAACATTGTGTCGACATAAAATAAATTAACTTTATTAACCAGAACATTTTTTGTATAGCTTCCAACAATTAAAGGTAGAAATAAAATTCACAGTCTCAAACATGATAAACAAAAATCATCACTATTATGGTATATACAATTTAAAATGACACTACAGCTAACTAAGTACATACAAGTCGACCCAGAGGAAACTAAGAAACTACTCTCAGCTAATGTGTCTTAAAACCTGACTTCTAAATTACATTATTCTGTCAGTGAGGAGTGAGAGTATTTCTTATTGAAATATACCCTCAAAATAAATAAAAACTGGCAGCAAGAAACAGCGTATAGACATGTAACACTTATGGATTTTGAATGCTTTGATGCAATAATGAAGACACATCGATGGAAGTGAATGAATTTGAAGGATAAGTATGGTGGTATTCTATATTTGTCTTATTGTCAGAGACCTTGAAAAGACCCAAAACACTGAATTGAGTTAATTTCACATACACTCTGTTGCTTCATTAAATATTGAGTTGAATAGCAAATGTGTATTAATCCGCAGATAAAAACGGATCTTAAGAAATGTACTATTTAGTCCTGTAACACTTCATATCAAATTAGTGCCTAGCTGATTTAGGAGATTACAGAGCCTTTTTTATTTGTTTTAAAGATGAATGTATTCAGTAGGAACCAATGGGATTAATGTTGAAAAACGAGTGTTACTCCGTCTCTTAAGGAACATGGAACAAAAAACATATTTATCCTCTAATGAAGAACTGTCTAACTCATTCTGCCTGTTTCCAGATGAAACCCATGTGTGTAAAAAAAAAATATGGATCAGACTAATAGGTATGATAGACTCGATACGATTTCAACTCAAATCTTTGCATTTAGATGGATGAACTGCTGGGTGGTGAAGCCAGGTGCAAAACATCCCAGGAAGATGGATGAGACACTGGGATGAACCATTACACAAAGAAATGACACAAGATCCGATAGTCTTCCAGCATGTGAAGAAAGACAGCAGTATTTTAAAGTGGAAAGGAAGACCACGGCTATATCCAGGCTGCAGATATTCTTTAAAATAATACCTCACCCTAAAAACATGTATTACTCATCCCGGGTTACCTTGATTCATCAATCATTTCCTGTTTTGTTTAGTCTTTCTTTCACAGTGAAAGCAACACACCAACGTTTTCGAGGCAACACAGGGTGAGTCATTGATACACAAATTATAATTGTGTGGGTGAAGCATTCCTTTAAGTTATAAATCTGTTATCGGGAGCATTCATTTTTATAATAACCACATTATCAGCGTGCATGTCATATGAGCCTCTCCATAGGGGGCGGCTGGGTGATGCTCCACATCTCCACCCGGGACCCCTCCTTCTCCTGCCGGCTGGGGCTGTAGGTGCCGTGGGTGGCGCGGCGATTTAGCGCCACCACCAGGCTGACGGAGGTGAGGATGAAGATCAGCAGCAGGACGACGGACACCAGACTGATGGACAGTAAGAGGTCAGAGGTCAAACCCGAAGAGGTCAACTGGAGGGGAAAACAGACAGAAACAAACGTTTTGGTTTAGAGGAGCTTATTTCTGTACCCTCGCACACGGTTTCTCACACTCACACACACTTCTCCTCTACACCAGGCGCTCCACACGAGCTGCCAAAGTGCTGATGGATGTGTTTCCCAGCTCAGCAGGTGGGTTGCGACCACCAGGAGCATCGAGTTGCCGCGGACTCAAACCTCCCTCCGTCTGCCGCCTCTCTCGCAGTTTGGCAACGGCCAGCAGCAGCCCCAGCATCACCACTATCGCCAAGCCAACCAGACACGGTGCCAACACGGCAGCCACTCGCGAGCTGTATGGAGCACGCTCCGTCTGTGGAGGATCACACACACACACGAGCAAGATGCTGCCTGATGATCCCATTTGCATATACACCACCCGAAACTCTCACACAGCAAAAATAGCTCACACAAACACACATGCTTTTTTCTAACAGGAAGAGAAGCTGCTTTACATGAAGCGTTTTAATGACGTGTGAAACCTGCTAAGATTCATTTTTAACTTTTGGCCCTTTGATCATCACACAAGCAGCTACAAAACAGACCAGAAACACAATTACCCCGCATGCAAACACACACATTTCTGACCTCTAAATTCAAACCAAGTGAATCAAGGCGTATCAAAACGTCCCAGGTAGCCGATTATTAACATTAATTAACAAGCGCAGAAAGACGGAGAAGATTGACTTACATCAGTAGTTCTGGTTGGTGTGAGAGTCGTGACACCTTGAGTGGCTGCTACAAGGTAACCAACAGCAACAACAGCGTTCAGTATCACTCCATTACATTTCAAATGTTGTCTGACACCGTGTTTAAAACTAAAGCCTCCTACAGAACCTGTCAGGTTACACAAGACTATGAAAAGAAGAAATCTCAGAAGTCAGCAAACTTTACACTGAGCAATCAACTTGGAAACATAATTCTTACAAAAATACAACCATCCATATCCCGAGGCAAAAAATAACTCCTGCACTCACGCTGTAGACATTACACTCTCTTTCCTCTTGCTACAGGTTCTTTGTTGACTCCCTGAAAGTGCTTACCTGTCACTGCAGCACAGTGGGCTGTCAGAGTGAGTGTGACACCAGCGAGCCGGAGCAGCCTGCAGCCAGGACCCGCCATCAGTCACCCACACACACACACACACACACACGGAAATGTCTAACTAACCAGTCTCTGAGGTACAAGGCAAGGCCACCCTGAAGCCTCAGCAGAGCAGCGACACACACAGCAATGCTTCCCTGCTGTCAGCACTATCTACCTGCTGTGTGTGTGTGTGTGTGTGTGTGTGTGTGTGTGTGTGTGTGTGTGTGTGTGTGTGTGTACCTGCCAGATAAGCTGCCCTCATATGTTTCTGTGAAGCAGACCAAACTTCTGTGAATACCAGCAGCTCTCTGCTGAAACTGCACTTCAGCACCAGATGCTGCTTTTTTCGCTGGCGCAGCACATTTCTCCCTCTGCTTCACCCGCTCCCTCAAAGGATGGCCACATCAGTGCCGACGCTGAAAAACTGCTTCCCATTTCCTCCCCCTCTTTCCTCACTATTAGGGCTAGCTACACACACACACACACACACACACACACACACACACACACACACACACACACGCATGCAAACACTAGAAAATATGAGATGGGAAGAGAGGGGGCAGGTGTACGAAAGAGGAGAGCGACTGCATATGGATTACATGGTTTAACTGAACATGACATTAGACCTATGTAAATGTTTCAAATTCTCAATGAAAACAATAAACACCGATCTGCTGCTGAAACAGACTCCATTTTAAGACATGGCTGCAGGAAATTGACATCATTAAACCATGAGAGCAGTCAGGGCACTGATGTTGGGCATTAAGGCAACACATTTATAAGAAAACCATTTCTTTGACGAAGAATAGGCATATTTTAAAACAATAGTCCATTAAGAGAGGAAGCATGTTATGAGGTGTTATGATCCTCACCCCTGATTTTTCTAAGGATTTGATGACTTGGGAAACTACACTTTAACCTTGCTTTACAGGTGAATGTCATGTTAAACAGCAATGAGCAGGTCCCAAACTATACATTAACAGCACTTTAGGTATTTAGACACAGGTGCTTGCACTCTGTTGCACTCCGCCTTGGCTGCGTGTGTGTCTCTATGAACTTGGGCTATTCTGGGATCTTCGCACACTACATCTTGTTAAGAGGGATAAAGTGTTGAGTGTGAGGAAAGCCACCGGACTGCGGCCTCTGCTCCTTCACTCCCCGACACACACTGATACACAGTGAGGAAATCAATAAAAGCATTTGTACAGCAGTTCATCTTCAATTGAAGTTTATCTACAGTACAGTACAGGAGGAAATGGAGGAAAGAATTTGTAAAAAAAAGAAGTGTGGTGATGATGGAAGACAATTAGTTGAGGAAGATGAAAAGAGGACAGAAGACAGACAAGGCCGATGAGATTTCTTTTTTATTTGACAACAACAAAGACAGAGACAGGACATAATATTATGAAAGAAAGCGGACAAACAAGATGATGATGTCAGCACAACAAGACTAAAAGACAAACAAAAACAGAATCAAGTCCATGAAGAATCGACAATGATTAGGAGTGTTATGAAATGTTGACCACGACAGCATGGGGAATGTTGATAGGTACCGTTCAAGCAGAGCCACTGAGAATGTTTCGGGTTAAAATAGCTTCGCCTCACCCGGGAAGACAAAAAACGTATTTGGGTAGAAAACAACACGCAGTCAGTCAGTCACCACAGTGCTCTGAACGCACATCAAGAACAAAGTGAGACATCTCGCCGTCTTCCAACTCCTCTAGGTGCCTTTGTTTCTACAACACTGTTTTTGATAGTTCACACATGTATCAGCATGGAGCTCCCAGAATCCAGTTCAAGACTGACAGCATATCTTCAATGACAAACATTATAAATACATATTCTATAATGTTCTGTACTGCATCACAAAGTGCTTTATTCAATGTAGACTACCCTTCCCTTTAGACCACAGTTACTATCCTGTGCAGTTTCACGCAGAACACAATGATTCTGATAAATCAGTTAGTCTATTCATTTCAATAGACTAAAGGCCCGGGACACAATTCGTCAATTAAATCAAGGTATTGTCAATCAAGTATCAAGTCAAATGATCAACACTAATAATCATAATGGATGCTAACTTATGAACAGTTGGTCCTCTCTTAGAATGATTGATAATAAAGTGTATTGTATAACCTTTTAAAACATGTTACCAGGGAAAGTCAATATATAAATATTGTAGGTTAAGATGGGTATTTTAAAGATTAGTATTTTAAAACTAACCTTGTTTTACATATCTTGCTTGAGGGATAAAGAGAAAAAAACCTCATTTTACAAATGATGCAGAATTCATAGCTCTTCAGTTGTAAATATTTTTTCAATAAACACAGCCAGCCTTAAAGAAACAACATCAAAAATATTATGGAGCTTCAAAATATATGAAAGAGTCCAATTTGGCTGAAATTAGATACCTCCGCAACCACTGCCTAAACTGTATTTTGTCTGTTGGTTTTGAAGGAGATTATCAAATGTGTTTTCTATAGCAAGTATTTCAAATTAATATGTGTAAAATAAAATTAAAATAATGAATAAAGTGCTACTGATGGTATAATTTTAAGGCACAGAATCAGCTCTGTGGTACCGATCACCTGACGTCAAACTAGAGAAGACCCTAATGTGTGCAGTCTGCCGTCATAAATACCTCATCCCCTGCTTAATGTGGGATATCCACCCTTTACATATGCACTCACAAACCCCACTGTACACACACACACACACACACACACACGCACACGCACACGCACACGCACACGCACACGCACACACACACACACACACACACACACTCAGTCCATGCCTCCCCAGTCCACCTCTGGCTCATCGTCCATACTGAGGATGAGGTAGGACAGCAGCTGGAAGAGGTTTTGCCACAGCAGCATGGCCATGTAAAAGTAAATGTCGCTTACGTCCGTCTGGCACATTTCTCCGGCGAAGCTCATTTCGCACACGCAGGCAAACTTGTTGATGAGGTTGCGGCAGTAGCCTCCGTTCAGACAGGGGTTGGACATGCACTCATCAGTCTCCTGCTCACACCTACAGACACAAAATCACACTTCGGTCAGGGACACTGTTGATATGTACATATGTATTATATGTTTGGTTTATTGATTGTGTTATCGACCATTTATATCAATCTTTCTTTAAATAGACTCTGAAGAGGACAATGCTCTGCTGTTTAAGGGCACTCCTCAAGCACCTGAGCTCTGCAGGGACGATTAACCTTAGTAAACACGCGTTAACATTAAATATTAGTTTTGTCAATAATGATGGAGGAAGCTGCTGCAGCAAACAATGATGGCAATAGAAGTGCAAGGTATTTATTACTATGTACAATTATTTGTATTTTCTTTTGTTTGGCCTTATGATGGCTAAAATTGGATGAGCATTTCACTTCATATAGCGCTCTAAATTGCATGAAATGATGAGCTGTTTTGTTTCAGTTTTGTTTTATGTATGTTTCTGTATGTTTTGTGTGTGTGAGGACCCCAGGAAGAATAGCCAATGCTCATGCTAGTGATCCTAATAAAGAATAAGGAATATGATTGGTCGTCAGCTGATTCTGAGGCCTGAGTGAAGCAGCTCATACAAATCCGCTAATGCAAGTGCGAGTCAAGCCTCCCGTCTTTATATAGTGCTCTCTTTATAAATCAGGGGACGATAGTACATTTTGTTCCAGTATCTCAGTCTGCTCTGGATCTTATTTACAATGATTTCATAATATATTTTTCTTTCCTACCGGTGTCCAGTGAATCCGGATGGACAGTCACAGGACAGCTCTCGCTCTGTGCAGTTGCCTCCATTGAAGCAGGTGTAGTTCCTGGTGTCATCTCCACACACAGAAACAGGCAGCTTAGGCCGTCTGGTAGGAGACAGTCAGACATGTAAAAAGGTAAATACAAGTAAGTAATTTTGTTTTTATTTCAAGCAGTAATATCTGAGGTATTGAGGCGTTTGGCGTCAGAAGGATCAGCCAGGCAGGGGCATGCCCTCCTGCAGCTCCCCACAGGGGGGGACACAGAGGCTTAGGGGGGGGGGACCACACTAATACGATTAAAAACCTCTGGCAACTATTCACAATCAAAAAGTCAAAACACATGTACAGGAATTAAAACGCCAACCATTTCTCTCCTGGCCCCTGTAACCTTCTGTTTGCCAGAAGCAACTTGGAATTCATCCCTCAATGGTAACAAAATACAGGCTTTTTTGATTTTGAAAGGCATACCATTTTTGTTATTGAAGTTTACACTTAGAATCCAGAAATCATTTTTGATTCACAGCTGTCACTCATTTGAAACATTTGCTATTTATTTTAAGACAAACGGTGTCAAAGGAAGCGTTAATATTAGCTTTGCTTGGCATTTTGTTGCACACAGTTAAACGAAAGAAACGGAGACGTCGTACATGACATTTGAGAGACGAATATCTAACAGGAAACAAATAGTGAACACCTGAGAAATGGAAGAGGAAGAGAAAAACAACTTACACTTTTCGTGATGTTATAATGTACCACGGAATTTCTTCAATGCGATCACTGGAGACAGACAGAAAGGAAGACGGGGAGAGGGGATAGAAGGAGACACAAACAAAAGACACAAACAAAAAGAAGTCATTTTGATGAAAACTTTACAGCGTAGATGTTCCCGGTAAAGGGAGATGTGCAGCTTGTCTTAGCGAGACACTTGCAAAGGTTTTCCTTGTGCAAAGGAGGCAAAATGCAAGAGGCTGTGTATTTACAGGATAAATGCTCCGAGGCGTTCCCCTGTTGGTTTTCCGAGGCAAACGGTAGATGACAGGGGAAAGAAACTGGCTCCGAACCACAGAGCCTTGTGTAGTGAGATACCGCTGCACACTGAGGCCTTTTCTGGCTGACACTAGAATAGAAATGCAGCATCTGAGACGCTCACTGCAGGCGTGGTTGAAAAGCTGCACAGAGGCAGTGATGTGGAGACATTTACATTGAAGGATTATATTTGTGTTTGGGTGAATTTCCTTTGTTTGTGCAAATTGGAGCACTTCTTTGTGTATTTTGTGTTGACTAACTAGCTAAGCGCTCAAAACGGCTCATGGAAGAGCCATGTTTGGAACAGAGAATATTTATTATGGCATTGTTTTCTCGTCTGCTGTTGGTCTGTATTTCGCACAAGCCTTTTGCACTGTGTTATTCTGACTTATTTGATCTTCTCTGGTGAGCCAACACCTGAACTTACTTGCAAAGTGATCCAGTGTAGTTCTCAGGGCAGAGGCAGGCGTATCTGTCTGCTCCCTGCAGACAGGTTCCTCCATGGGCACACAGGTGTTTCTCACACATATCCACCTCCTCCTCACAGTCCACGCCTGTGTAGCCCGACTCACAGCTGCACTCGTAGGTCAGCCCGTTGACGCTGCAGTTGCCGTGGATACAGGGACTGGAAGCGCATGTGTCGGTGAAGAAGCTGCAGCGCCTCCCGGCCCAGCCCGTGGCACAGCTGCAGTTGAAGATGTTGAAAAGGTCCTGACACTCCCCTTGGTTCAGGCAGGGGTTGGGCTCACACACCGGGGCCCCGCTGCAGCCGTGGAGGGGGGTCAGCAGGGAGGTCCGGGTGAACCGCTCCTCCTGTAGGCGTGGAAAGTTCACATCAGAGGAGCTGAAGTAAGGCAGGGCAATGCCCCCCAGCTCCACTGTCCCCAGGCACCCAGCCAGGGACCACCCAGCATCAGGGGCCAGGCCTCCTAAGAAGATGTCCACCCCCTGCCTGAGGAAGTTCAGGTTGCCTCCCTGCATCCTGGAAGTGCTGGCTTCCTCTATCTCTTCATCCGGAACCAGAGTCCAGCGGGAGGTCTGTGCCCATGGAGCCGCCATCAGCAGGTTGATGCTGTGCCACTCTCCATCGCTGACACTCGTCCTGCTGCTGAGGCTGACCGCGGTCACAGCCTGCTCTCCCTCCCCCTCCGTTCCGTTCTCTCCACTGCTGCTCTGAAGCTCCATGAAGATGAAACCACCCTGGATGGACAGTGTGAAGAAAGAGGAGCCCTTCTCCGCGTGGAGAATAGCCGTGTTACGCTTCCGTGTGCGTAGGTTTAGGGAGAGGCTTGTTATATTGCGGGATATGTGGCCGTTTCCCCGGTAAACCAACACAGTGCTCTCATTCAGGAAAGTTGCATTGGAGTAGCCTAGGAGATTAGAGAAAGTATTAGTTTTTTATAATGTACTGTATACACATTTACACACTCCCTTGTTGCACCCCTAACACTTTGTTTGCTTTTTGTATTGGATTATTTACTGGCTTTATGCATGAAAGTACAACAAGGGCATCAGGGAAGAGCAATGATTTATAATCGAAATATTTCAAATACAACAATGTTATTAAAGAATGGCATGGTCATGTTTGATGTCAATAAAATCCTGTTGGGCAGCTAAATGGGGTCACCAGGAGCAGATATCCTTGATACTGAACATGGAGGGGTGTGACAGGACAGACGGGAAACACCACCAATCATCACTAATCCCAGCATAAAAAGGATAAACTGGCCTAAAGCCAATCCTGCTTTACGGAGCACACACAGTATACTGTGTGGGCAGATTGTTGCCAGTATATAACTAAGCATGTTGAATAACTAGTTTACATAGTGGCCAATTACAGCAGAGCACCAATGACCAACTCCACAAACAAGGTCAAGATTAGGGAACATATATAGAACGTCAGTAAGTCTAAGAGGCAAACAACTCACTCTCTGGCTTTAGGGGATTTTAAGTAACAAAGGAAATAGGTCAAGGAGAAAAACTTACCCAATAATAAGGATTAAAGTGAGCTCATTGTTTCAAATTCCACCTCATTATAAATGTGTTGGTCTGAACATGGCTTTATGACCTGCAATCTGCCTATCAAGCTTTGTGACTTTCACATCTCTGCACGTCTCTCAAATGACTTGCATTACCACCCCTGCTTGTAACAGTTGAACTCTTTGACACCACTTACATTCATATCCCTGGTTAAGCATCTTGCACTCTGAGTCTGGGGGGCAAGGAGCCAGCTCGCACCACCTGACCTCCTCACAGCGCCGCCCTTCTGTCTTTGGAGGGCAGGTGCAGGTGAAATCATCCCACATGGAGTAGCACAGCCCACCGTTTAGACATGGGTTCATCTGAGGATTGAGACATTGATAAGTTCATTGTATTTAGTGTCTGTTTCCCTTGCTGGAAATAGGACATTTGACAATACTATATGTAAATGCTGTTATAAGAGTGAGTCTCATTTGAGGCAGAATATACTTTTAAGTCCAGTTTTGCATCCTCTACTTCACATTAAAAAAGAGTCAATGAACGCTGATAATAAAAGGTAAACAAATATAACTAAAAAGAGGATTACAACGCTTATACTCACACTGCAGGCATTGTCCCCAGAGCATCCATCAGTCACATTTCTTATGAACTTCAGAGGATAAGATCTCACTGAGGAGTCCAACCCAAAAATCTGCAGCCTCCTGTCGTTGATCCTCAGGTCCTGAATACAGCCTTTAAAATGTCCACCAAACGCTGAAGTCATCCAACTCTCAGAGCGACCTCCTACATACACAGTGTCTCCGGCTTGGACATTGATCGTCCTGACTGCTACATCTCCTTGTTTCTGATCTGCTACATACAGCGCCATACGATCCTCCTCCACCTCTACACTCACAAAGTGGATTTCCCCGTCATTGATCGCACTCTCCGCCTTCAGGCTCGCAAAGTTATTGAGTTGAACTGTGACCTTGCCGTCCTCCAGCCACAGGTGCAGGTACTGGCTGCTGCTGTTGGCGAGCGCCAGGAGGAGTCCGCTGTTCCTCCGTGTGCGCAGGAAGAGGGAGATGGAGAGGCCATCACCCAGATCATCGGTGACAGTGAAAGATGCGTAACTTTGAGAGTCATCGGTTCCGAAGCGCGTCGTCACATGTTCTGCAAAAAAGGTGAATAAGATTAGACCGCAACATTTTTCAGGTTAAAGACGAGAGAAAAGTGACTTGGTTGTTTGTAAGCTTTAGAAAAACACCTTCTTGACTTTTTCAGCTATGCCATAGTGTAAGGTTTTATACATTTAAGGATATATTTAACAGTTCGAAATAGGGAAAAAGCAAAGGTAGGAGGAAAAACCTAAAACTTGACCATAAATATAAGAGAGCTGGGGTGCATGTAACTTAATGTCATTATCCACCACAGTACAAAAAGAGCTTACACTCACAAATCAAACTTGTAATAGCATTTATTCGTCTTTGTGTTGTTTTTTCTGATCTGTGGAGAGCAAACTGTCCAAACCAAATATTCAAATGATACTGTAATTTCGATTGATTTAAATTGTTGCAGGATAAATGAACATGTAGGGACTAATATTGACGCAGTTCATGTCGAGGTTTCTAGAAGAACAGGTAACTAAAGAGGACATTTCAGCAGCCACCAGCCCTCATGTTCTATTTCCCATGTCAGCACTTTCCACTGTGGGATGATCACCTTGTAAAGCAGCAAGGAGACTGGGAACACACAAAGTTAAAGCAGGGAGCACATGCAATGTGTGAAAGGTCATATGAACAGGGTTCATGCGTGTCGGTGCTAGTGTGCAGGTGAGCATTTGTTCACATGTGAGTAACTGTGTGTGATCGGTAATCTGCTTGGATACACTCAAGAGGCTATGCATGTCCTCGGTGAACTGTTCCATATTACCAGGGGGAACGTGAGTGACTCATATAAACACTTTATCATTCTACTTGGTTATTTTAACGTGTTTTTAAATCAGAGTAATTAACAGTTTACTGTCTCCATGTTCTGTACATTTCCAAAATAGAATCCCTTATAACCTTAATCCAGTACGCCAGATAAGAGGATCTCTGCCTCCGTCCATTACTGTGGCTTTTTATTGGCCTCATCTGTACGTCCTTATCTCTTGTTAATCACCAGTAACTAGGTTGTATCTAATTAGCCTCTAGAGAAATGTGGTGAGAGTGACCTGCTATATTCCCCTCCAATCTCAAAGTTGAAAGAGATCTATATCTGCTTTTGGTGATTTTATATCTCAAACTTAAAAAAAGTGTTTTACTTAGCGTTGCTGCTTTTTGACTGTCCTGCTAAAGTCTATTAGTTGAATACTGAAAACATACCCTCCTCACAGTCCTGCCCCTCATAAGGCCTTGGACATCTGCACTGGTAGCTCTCCCACAGGTTGACACACTGTCCTCCATTTTGGCAAGGCACATCCAGGCAGCGGTCCCTGTGGCTGCAGCCGGGGGACACATTAACAGCAGAGTCGCTCAGCCATTCCCCGGGGACAATGAGCTGCCAGTCCACAAACACATCCCGCATGCATCCAATGAATGCTGGAAGTGGAGAGACCTCACCCGGGGCATTTGAGTCCTGAAGCACTCCTCCAATAAAAGTGTTCTGAGGAGGTGACACCAGCCTGGCCATGGTGCTTTGGACTGAGGCCACCTGGTGACATGACTGGCTCCCACAGCTCCCATTATCATCCAAGAGAGTCAAACTGAGCATCCAGCTCCCCAGCACTGCTTCCACAGTGTGCCACTCTCCATCTGTGACATTGTGTGGAAGCTCCAGGACCTGGCTTGGGCTGTCTGCTTCATCCCCAGCAGAGGCCTCCTTCCTGAGTGTGAGACGAAGCTGCCCCTCGTGCAGCTCCAGACTCAGCAGCAGCCCCCTGCTGTTACTCTGGAACAACAACGCTCTTGGTAGAGATGTCTTGAAGCTGAGGGTAATGTTGCAGGACACCACATCATCCACCAGGGGACTCTGCAGCAGCAGATAGCCTCTGCGCTCAAAGGAGAAGGTGGTGGGGGTCCCACACACGGGTCCAGTGTAACCAGGTGAGCAGGAACAGGTATATCCATTAAACCCATCCAACAGGAAAGGAGAGCAGGAGCCTTGGTTCTCACATTTATGTCCTTCACAGCCTTCTATCCTCACATCACAGTTTACACCTCCATAGAGGACGCCATCATGACTCTGTTTTTGGCAGTGGCACATGTAACCTCCAACATGGCTCTCACAACTGCCCCCATTGTGGCAGGGACTGGGGTCGCACTGGTCTATCACCTCCTGGCAGAGGGAACCTGTGAGCAAAAGAAAGCAGAAAAAACTAATAAAAACTCAAATCCCCTTTAGACTGTGTTACTGTCGTTAAACAACTTACAGCTGCAGTGTGGGACTTTTCATGTTAATTCATTTCTGTTTCATTCTAGACCTTGACAAACAAGTTCACACAATGCTGATAAAGCCTATCGCTGCAAAGTGAAGTTGTGGTGTCTGTTGTCGGTGGCGACTGTCCCGCGCTGGTGCAAGCATGCCTGCATGTGAACTGGCTCACTGCACTTCCTCCGCCCCAAAAGGTACTCTTAAACTTTTAATGTGAACCTTTTTAGAAGACCAGTAGGATTTATTGGTTATTCATCATAATGTTTCGATCTAAGGATTTTTGTTTTTGTTAGTTTAGAATAAGCCTTTTATATCTACATGGAGCAGGTCCTCTTCACTGCAATCCGCCATTTAAGTTTTGAATGTTACCTAAAGGACAATGTGTGGAAGCGGAGGGGTATTCAGCTGTTTTCCAATCTGCGACTTCACCATTAGATGCCTCTTAGTCTTGCTCCTTTTTACCCTTCCTCTTAATGCTGATTTTCTTTTTTATCTTAAGCTTCTAATCAAAAAACTTGCACCAAGTTTGACTCACAGGATGTTGAATTTGCCTGCATATTTAAAGCGGCATCCATCCCTTTCGCTCTCTGTGTTACCATTTTGCAAATGCACCAATGCAGTATATTGTGCTTGGTGTCACACAAAAAAGAACCAGTGTAGTTTTTCCACTGAAATGTGTGCAAAATTGAATCCTAAAACCCGCCAATGAGTAAGCATTTTAAAACGTCCGGTTCCCTTGTCTTGAAGTCAATGGTTTTTTGATAAGATGCCTGAAATGTGTGGTTAAGTAAGCTTAGAAGAGATTTTCACATTTTGTTCTACCTTATTAATAAGTGTGTCAGTAAATACCCCAATTGAGAACCTGGGACATTTGATGACCTTAAAAGAGATTGCTAACAAGTGGTTAAATTAGACTACTTCAAAGTTTATCATGACAAACCCTAGTCATCCTTTAGCTTAGTGCTGTTGACATGAAGTCATGCGTCCTTGATGTCCTGTAGTATATTTCTAGCCAAACATTACATTCACGCTATAGAAATCATAAAAGCTTTTATTTATGATCTTGCTGAACAAAACATGTAATGTCTTGTTGGCCCGTAGCTTATTTTCTGCAATAATCAAAATAAAATAATTCCATTGACTTTTTGTCAAGGGAATCAGTATAATGGTAATTTTCTGGGTCGGCCTACAAAAATATGTCATCCTTGCAGTGTCATTATTCCTTGTTCAGTAGTGTTGTAGGAAATAGATCTCCCTGTTTACAACCAACAAGTCACACTCATACACTTGTGCTAGGCTATAATTGGGGCCTAAAATACAACGTTCAATTTGCCCGAGCAAAAGTCAAATTGTCTGGTTTTCAAACCAGTTTTCAATGCTTGTGGGGTGTATTACTCTTTACAACGGTTAATTGTCCATGTCTTGCACATTTAATATTATCTGAAAGCTTTGTTAATTTTTGTGCATGTTTTTATCTCCAGAAATGTACGTGTGATTATGCTATATGCTTTATACAGTATGCATCAGCATTTTAAATTTGTGATGTAGAAAAGTGGTTGGATTAAAGCTAAAATGAATGCAATGAGTAGGCCCTTTGCCATATGATGCAACAACTATAGATTATATAGTACAACACAGGAAATTGTAGAACAATTAAGTTTCAGCATGTATTTGTTCAATATTGGTAGAAGAACCGGCAAAAGAAAAAAAGAATGAAATACCTATTATGTAAAACCTTTACTAAATATCTATTAATAAAAAACGGTCCTTGTTATTACCTGTTCCAAGCAATACAATCCCCCAAATCCATGGTGCGGGTGTCCACATCATGCCGTCACTTTTTCCTCCAGGATAGCCCCAGACTCCTCTAACTGCAACATATTAGTTTGTGTGTGTACATGCCATCCCAGTGGAGGTCTGCTCCTTGTCTACCTCGCTACAACAATGTAGGGCTGAGTGGTTCCAGTCAGGAGACCAGCAAAGCCAGATCCTGGGGATTAGGCTAATGCTATTTGGCCACCTTACTGAGTCAGTAACACAGTGACTGGCAGATAGTCAATTTTTAGAACACAACTCTCAGCAGGCAGCAGCTCACCGTCTTACCTACATAGTAAGATCAAGTCTTGTGTAATCAGAAAACTGGAATTTTCTGCCTTTGCAACCGAAAAGTATCATCTGATGTAACAACCTGCCATAGGAAAAATCTTCTCTTGACAACAATGCACCATACAATATACTGTGAAAGTGTAAATGTGGTAAATGTAATATGGATTATTCACAATTATATGACCGGCAGACAAAATGTCATAAACCCAACTACTAATTTAATATAACCCGGACAACTGTGTGACTATAACATCACAGATAAAATAAAATAAAAGTGTTTTGTATTCTACCACTGGGGGGCGCTAAAATCAGATTGGCAATAGCAAACCTGACTCTCACAATGCTTCCCTGGAATCCCCTGCTGGAAGGGTCCTTTAACAGCTTTGACTGAACAGCCTCATCGTTTGCCTCACCTGTTAAGGTATATATGTGTGGCCATTTTAGATACATTTGCCAGTCTATTTATGTATAGATTTATATTCTATATTTTGAATATGTATTTTGAATAATAGCCATATATTCCTATTTTTGGATTTACCCTTTCAACTTGCTATTGCTTCCATTCGAAACTGTGTACGTTTCCTGCTCAGACATCTTACTGTGCATATTAATAGACCTGTGAAAGACATAATGATAATGTAATTACCTGTAGTTCCTGGAGGACAGCTGCAGATGTAGCCCGCAGCATGCTGCTGGTCGTAGTGTTCGGGCAGCAGAGGCTCGCTGCCATACAGAGGCTGCCACGACCTCTCCATGCAGCGGCCTCCATGCATGCAGGGCTGGCTGCCACACTCGTTGATGTCAATATCACACTGACGCCCCTCAAACCCTGGAATGTTAGACAGTTAGAAAGTGTTGGCCATTTGAAAAATGTTTGCGTTTAACAGCACATTTTAACACACATATTATACACACAAATAATATCACATGTTGACCCCTTCTCTTGCATTTCGGGTCAAAAGTGACCGAGTGACTTTGTTTTTGATCATAAATATTGTGTTTTTCATCCAATTGCCTCAAGACCTTATGTTATCCTCCACACTAGGCCTCTGAACATATACAATTGATGATCACCACTTGCATTGATTTTTTTGTGATTTATTCAACAGTGAAACACCCATGATGTTTTCGGTCAGAAATGACCGCCATAGGAAATGAATGGGTATGAGTGTATTACAGTATGTTCATCCTGCAGATGTCTCTCTCACACACACACACACACACACACACACACACACACACACACACACACACACACACACACACACACACACACACACACACACACACACACACACACACACACACACACACACACACACACACACACACACACACACACACACACACACACACACACACACACACACACACACACACTTCTTGTGCTTATGTCCCCCCACACCTTCCAGACAAAACAATTTACTCTAAGTTACGGGAACCTCTCACTTTCTCGCGCTGTATGATACAATGTATCATACCTTCTCACAGGTGCGAGCTCTGTGCCCCTCGAGAAAGAAAAACCTCTCACTTTCTCGCGCTAAATGCCCCTCCATTGCTGTCTCTCATGCAGTTATATTTGTGCCTTGCTCACATTTGACTCATTGACACAATGAATAGGCGACCGATTAGGGGATTTTCTGTCAGAGAGACTCTGGACAAATGTTTTGAACCAGATGAAGAGGAGATTGAACCAGACATAGAGGACGATGTCTCAGAAATGGAAGACAACAGCGATCCAGACTATGAGCCTGACCAACAGTCAACAGACCAGGAAGAGGCCCCTGAGGGAGAGGAGCCCTGAATCTTATTTTTCTCTAAATGTTCATTGAGGAAAACAGTATCAGTGTCTTATTTTATATTCATCACAGTGAATGCTGAAATTGATGGGCCCACCGGTGGGTCCGGACCATATACTGTAGTTGAAAGTACACAATGAAACACTGACTTGCTTGTATCAAATCAATACATCCCATACATCATTGGAACGGGAAGAATCTCAGCTACAACACCAACTGAAGCATTTCCATCTCCAGTAAACACAGCCTACATGGCAAGCATTTTTATAATATACAGTAATGTACAGTAAGCACTATCTTTGAACTTACTGCAAAATTATAACATGAAATTCACCCCTGGTGTCATTCTGTCTGTCACCCCTTTATTCTACTTGCTTTGACTGTACAAATGCGATGTCAACCATCAACATTGGATAAGGGGTTTCTGAGATATCACTGTGCAAAACACACCGGTCAATTTTGACCGAAAATAGTATGGGAAGGGGGGTATGACCTAACGCAAGAGAAGGGTTAAGTAAATTATTCAGAACTTATGTTTGAATGAGGCTTCATGCAGCTTTAAGCTTAATTAATTAATCGTTTTACTTGGCGCCACCGTGAGTGGCAGCCTGTTTAGCAGCTCTCCTTGTTTCTTTTCTCAATTTTGTTTCACTACTAATACTTTTTATTGGAGTTAATTGTAAATGTTGGGACACTGATTTCCAACTTGTATATATTATTGGTAGGATTTTTATCACACATACATATAAATATATTTAACAATCCGGACTCAAATATGTTTATATGTTCATTTAATTAATTTCTTATTTTAACAGTTACTTACCTGTATATAATTGTAATTGTATCTTTAATTGTATTAATCTTGAGTGAATCTGTGCTGTCCTGTTTTTCAATATCACCCTGTTGCTGCTTAAACTCCTGAATTTCCCCACGGGGATTAATAAAGGTCTATTTTATCTTATCTTATTTTAATTATGGTCGGATTCCATTTTTAAAGGGGACATAATGCTAATTTTCGGTTTCATAGTTGTATCTTGGGTTTCTACTAGCTTTAATGTAATTTTTACAATGTGGGACCTTTTAGCATACTTCTGTCCTTGCCAAATTATTCAACAGCAGATATTTCGACTCATTCTCTGCTCACAAATTCATTTTTCATCTGATCTGTTTTTGCCAGACCCATATCTCTTGATATTTAAGATACATACCTTTTAAAACTTCAAAAGCTGTAACTCAGAAATACATTGTTTTCCCTAATATTTGATCCAGAGAAGTGCTTCATGTACCTGGCCAGCAGTCACAGCTGTAGTCACCCTGGTTGTCCTGGCAGGTGGCGCTGTTGAAGCAGGGGTCAGAGAGGCAGGCTGGGAGTGGGGTCTCACAGCGTCTGCCAGTGAAGGCTGGGTGAGAGCAGTCACAGCTGGAGCTAAAACAAGCCAGGATTCACAAATCACATGAGGTAAATGAATAAGAGCATTTCCTCCATGCTTTGTTTGTAAGTCGAAACATATTAGGAAATCTGTACAGTACAAAACCATTTGTCTTTTAACACTTGGCAAGAGATACTATATTTGATTTCCAGCGACTGGAGATGTGCCACTTACTCGTTCACCCCATCTATACACAGCGCCCCATTTTGGCATGGCTGCTCTTGGCACTCGTCAATGTTGATTTCGCATTGGTGTCCTTGGAAACCGGGCAGGCAGGTGCAAGTGAAGCCACCAGCGTAGTCGTGGCAACTACCGCCATTGAGACATGGCTGTGATTGACACTCATCAATCTGGACCTCACAAATGGCCCCTGTGAACATCAAAGCAGGACAGATGTCAGAGGGCGAGTGGGCCTGCTGCATAGACTGAGGGCAGGGGGCAACAATGGACAAAGCTTTCATGTGTACTGGCTGTGATCATGTGTGGATTGCTCCTTTTATTTCAAAGCGCGGCTTCTGCAGCAGCTCTAAAAACAGTATATTGTGCACAATACAAATGTATCTACAAATGTATCTCTGCAATAAAGATATCCTATCATCTTTATGCAACTAGGGGGAGAAATATTGGAATGAAAGTTTAACAGAATGAAATACAAATAATGAGACAGTTTAGGCTGCATGCATTAAGTAAACCATCCGAACAATGAAATGGGTGATACTAGAATACTGAAATGACTCTGCTTTGATATAATGCTTTCAAGCTCCTTTCAGCAGACTGATCCAATGGGGTTTAACTAGTTCATCTATTCTTCATTGGGTAGATTTATTTTTAGATTTAAAAATTAAATCAAGACATCAGTGTAGGGAAGATTTCAAAGTAAACATTAACTACCCCGGATGACTATAAATAATCGTATTGAACTTCCACTTGGCCAGTTTTCTATGACAACAATAATCTACAGCCATACTAGCTGTGACCACATGGGTGACCTATACAACATTTCATACATTAAAAAACAATCCCACACATATCTTCTATCATAAAAGCTATGTGTTATGTTAGGATTTAAATTAGTTGGTCTCATTGTTGCTCCTGGGAGACCCAGAATGTATTTTTTCCCTCACCAGTGAACCCAGGAGAACACAGACAGGAGAACTGGCCCACTCGGTCCACGCAGGTAGCTCCGTTCCTGCAGGGCTGTGAGGCACACTCATTCACGTCGATCTGACAGTGTGCACCTTGAAACCCCGGCACACAGAAGCACAAGTAGTCGTCTCTGCGGATCCTGCATATCGCACTGTTCTGGCACGGGTTTGGTGAGCACTGGTCCACTGGTGAACGCGGCCTGTCAGGAGATGCACCTATAAAGAGATCAAATAAAAAAATATTGATATCACAGAATATAATTTCTTTGATCTTGATACTGCAGATTAACAGAATCTTGATTGCTATATTAGTTTAATCATTTCTGGAATAAAGCTTATTTATTTTCTGTTTAAATTAGATGAGAAACAATGTAGCAGCTGTCAGTACCGGAACGAAAGGACTTTAAACTTAAGGGCCTCTCAAGGCGTTATGGCTGGCTGCCATGGTAACTTATTTAACTGTTTGGCTTCAGTGTTCAATCTGTTACCATGGCAATTGCATGAACAGAAGATCTGAGGCGACACTTTACGGTGTGCTTTAATCAGGAAGACATCAATGCCACGCTGACAGAGGTTTAGGTGTCAATTCATTGAACACATGCTGTTCATACTAATAAGAGGATCAACACTTGATCCTTCCCAGTAACAACAATGAAAAGCAATCATTATATCTTTATAGATTAGATAATGCCGTAAATAGATATGTATATTTCCAAACCTTAATATGTCTAGAACTGTGTTAGGAAAGTCATATTTAGCTTGGAAGTTATGGGAGCAACAACTCACAAAGTGGAATGTGCGGTAGTATAAGGATAGTATTTTCTGTAATCTTGACAGCTAACTTGTCAAATCTTTAAAAAAAACACAATATATTTGATTGAACATTTTGAGATAACTTGATTTCAATGGATTTCCAACATCATGATTTTATAAAGTTAAGATAATGTTTTAAATGGTTAAACATTCAGTACCACTGTGATCGGATGACCACACTTCTTAAAACCTCTTATCTCTGATGATGCATTGCTTATATTTAATGTCAACATTGAGACTTGTACAGCTCTTACATATGCAAGAAAACTTCAAAGACAAATAGGTACCAAAAGGAATCTCAATATTGCCTTACTCCAGTCAGAACAACTGGCTCCAGAGGCAACGGTCCTCATAATACATGCATGAGGGGCCACAGGGGCATGATGCCACTACAAAGACACTTCAAATCAGCTTAACAAGTGTTGCCTCTATTAATAATCAGACTGTACCACATTTCTTAAAGAAAAAGTGTGTTTTGCATGAGGGGTGCAAGCATGATTCGTCATAATCATGAAAAATAAATGTAGCAACACTGATATGAGCAGAGATATTCTAATAAAATCCTCACAGATGATAATCACACAGTAATCATGCCTCAAGAGCACAATCAGGCAGAGTGCAGACTATAAGAGAAGAGAGCAATTACACTTTGTGCTCCATCTGCACCAACTCGGGCACCACATTTTCTTCTGTCTTTCGTTAAGGTCAATCAATTCCCCAGTCAGTTGGCAGGGTTCTCCCCGAGCAGATTATAATACATGTCTAGACTAATGGAGGTATAGGCCGAGGTCCTGGGGTGGGATGCAGATCATGGGTTGTGTTTATGTTCTGACCATATGCCAAAATGATCTTTCATTACAACCAGGATCAGCCAAGTAAATTCAGAAGGCATGCTCCATACATTATGTTATACAAAAACACATGACTTAAAACCATGGTGCAAGAAATTGGCAATGACTATCTATGTATTATTTTAAAGGAAACCACAACAGGTGGTGTAGGATTTGCTCTTGAATCCGCTGGTCTTTCAGTATTGCCCTGGGGCAGAGTTCAGAGGAGAGATAGGCCGAGATGGAACTCCAGCCAACCACACATCCCCTCCCACAGCATGTAAGGCTTTTTCATATGCTAATGAGCTCTACAGGGCTTTGTTTGGTCCTATCTGGAGGCCCTCAAATGGCACATGTGAAGCACCTGACAGATGCATGTTTCTGTGTAGCTGTCTGTTTGTTTCAGAGGTGATAAGAAGACATGTTATTGTTGGATGTTTTGTAAAGCCGAAGACACATATAGTGCCTTCCCCTTTAGACACTTATCGACATACCCACCAACCCCCCAATCCTCAAACACACCCTAGGGTCAATGCTGCCCCCCATTGTTAGATTCCTTTCTGTCCTTACAAAATGTAGACATCACTATGCGATGATGTAAACCCTCACAGTCTTAATTGATATTCCAAGCATGGACTGGTTAAAATACAAGCCAATTACTCGACTGAAATTAAAATCACAGTGCTGGTTTCAATCTCTACACCGTTAAAAATGAAACTTTAGCAAGAAAGTTATAATATTTGACTAATATTTGAATTAGTGTTGTAACTTGCATGCATGAGAAAATTGATAATGATAGTATGCAACAACAATCTAGTTTTGCAGGTGTTGAAATGCAAAAAATATATGACAAAGCACTGATTATCAGTTTACTTTTATGACTGTTATACAGCTACAGCATCACATCACACGTTTTTATGGTAGCCTACATTAACTCAAGGGAGATGAAACAATTACTCACCATCTATCACAAACAGTGAAGAGATAAAAATTGTGCATGCAAGTAATTCCAAATTATGATAGCGAATTAAATCCATAATCGTGACAGGAAATCATCCTGATCGTTGTGTAGAATCCTTGTCATACACAGAGCCCCTGCTTCTGCCTGCTGCCTGCGGCTCATCTGTTGTCATCTCCAGATCCACTTGATGCACACTTCTCTTCTTGATGGAGCACCATCAAGAGCCTCCATCACACGAGATAAAAAAAATAAAAAAGAGCACAGCGTGGTCTTCAACAGGCTGCACTCCCCCTCCCCCGTGCAGAGGCGGAGTTTGGTAAAGTTTGAATTTGACAGATTAATAACTCATAAACCAGTCGTTGTTAAAACACAAACCAAGGCTATTAACAACTGTAAGGTAGACAAGGAGCTAATAACTAATTTCCGTTAAAATAAGTCTATACACGACGACGTCTTCCGAGCTGGACCACTTACATTGGTGTCTATCTGCAGCCAGAAGAATCTGCACACACAGAAGAGTGTGCAGGGACCGTCTACTACAAAGTGCTACACAGAAAAAACACACTACACAACATTCAATAACTTCCCTGACCCTGACAGTTGAGTGCTACGGTAACCACTTCACACGTATTGCAAAGGCATACGCTTTTCAAAACATGTTGGTGATTTAATTCGATTTTCCATTAAAGAACGCGTTACAAAACAATGTTTTTCTCCTAAACATAAATTAAATATGAACGAGCTTCTGTGTCCCCCGGATAGCGGTGGACGTTCCCATGGCAACGCGACCAGGAAGTTGAACCTCAGGGGAGAGAGTAGGACGATTTCCTCCCTTTTTTGGAAAATAATGCTACGTTTTCGTCTTCATGGCTTTGTCAAAAACCTCTTTGTAACATCTCCACGGTGATTTCAGGATGTCTGCGTCCATGAGAGCCAGCTCAGCGCCGGGGTCATCGAGGCAGGTGCAGCCGCTGGACAGCACAGGTGACGTTAGCGATAAACAAACAAACAAACAAACATTAGCTTAAGCTAGGAATCATTACCTCATACTGACTCACATCACCTCACACATGCACTACGTACTAAGTATTCAAAACTTTTAGTAAAGTGTCCTACTGCACTGTAAAAATACTCACAAAAATAAACACCCACATTTTAAACTTTACTAAGGTAAAAGTAGGATGCAAATGAGCAAAATGTAGCCTACTTTAAGTATCAAAAGTAAATGTAGGCCTATTCATGTTAAAATGTACAATAATTTCCAGGAAAAGATAAGTACCTTATAATTGGTACATAGATGTGTCAATGTTCTGAGTTACATTCTACAACTGCAGTCAACAACAGCAAACACACTTTTGCATTGATGATTCAGTTCTCACTGCTAGCTATGTGTTTATTTGTTATTGCATTCACTTTACCATCCCCTCACACCAAGGTCAGACTCTAGGTTATTCACCTACTGGTTTGTCTGAGTTGCTGTGAACTGAATTTTCAACTCCCAGCAGAGAGAAGGAAGACACAACCACCTCCCGTTGACAACCACATCATCCCAGATGAGCTGCTGGTCAGCCTCACCTCCACGGTCTGCAGCAGGAGCACGCTGGGGCACACTGCGCACAATCGCCACTGCAAGGTATTCAACCCCGATTTATATCTAAGAGGGAGTTTTTTAATCTGGCAGTTCACATCTAAGATGACCTTGTATACAGGGCTGTGGAATCAGACGACCAGATGCAGTCTGGCATCACCCGCTGGGACGCAAGAAATACAAATTCTTTCTGGAACAGCCAACATCACTCACTGGAGCCGGCAGGTCAGCTACACGAAACCACACATATTAACTAACCACACTTACTAACCACAAACATTACGTTGGTTGTTGCAACTAGAAGTCCCCCCAAATATCTAATTTAAATAAATGTCTGTGGTGTTTTGTCATCTAGTAAAAACATGTTAAGTGTTAACTGTTTATTTATTAATGAAAGCAACATATTTATGTATATTTAGTCTCGAGACTAACTTAGGTGATAATACAAACGTAGCTTGGCTTTACATAACTGGACACTTAGCAAAGTCAAGTTAATGTTATGTTATATCTGAAGTTAGTTATTTTAAATGAGGTAAATAAGTAATCTATATAGAATCAGGGCAATAGTAGGTGTCTCAGAAAGTCTCACATTTGGCCTGTTTGTAAAACAATTTTTTTATTGTATTCATACAGGGATATTTCCTTCCTGTGTGATGCTATGGTAGCCCATAGGAAGACAACACCCCTGCCACCCCTGACAGAGAGGAGTGCCAATGGAGACACACAGGTCAGTTACCTCAGCTGACCTACAGTATTTCTACTTTCTGTCATTTTTACACTTTTTGGCAAGGACCAAAGGACCTGAGAATGTGACTTAATTTCCCTTTTCAATTTATCATCCCTAGTATAACATGTATAGATTAATATAGTTTTACACAATTACAAGCAGTGCTATACAACATAACAACATCAACCAGAAGTGATAAATACACAAAAAAAGCCCAAATTAACTACCACAATACTTCCTTGTTACTCCATTGTTTATTAAGTATTTCAGATACCATGCAGATTCAAATTTTTGTTTTAAAGTTTAGAGAGAACTTTACAAATGTTCCATATTATGTAGCAGTATATATCTAAAATTCTCTGATTTACAATAATAGTACTGATTTTAAATTCACAATTATTACAATTCATTTATACACTCTACAGTTTTAGGTTATAATAATGGTCACTGTCTTTCAGAACTACAGTGTCTCAGAAAGTGTGATCCCAGAAGAATATCACATTGTGAAAAACAAAGGGCTTCGGAGCCTGGAGTTCTTTGAGGAGTGAGTCTCCTTTACGATGTCCTACCACTTCATTCATGTTCATTGTAAAATCCTCTTGTTATTATATTAATTAATATTTTCTTTCATCTCATCTTTGCTTCTCTTCCTCAGTGCGTTCACAGTACAGCTGCAGGATGATGAGCAGAAGCTGCGGGTCTTCCCTTCACTGTGAGTTCCCTTTACAGATTAGCTTTAGTGAAGTAGTAATCACCACGCAATTTGAGGAGTAAGTTATGGTACAGCTTAATAGTAGGTAAGTTATAGTACTGCTTACCTTTAAGTAGGAATATTGCTGGCAAAAAACAAGATATGTGTGTGTGTGTGTTGGGTGTATCCAGGAGGCCCAGCGGCAGACTGGAAGTGGTCCAGCTGACGCGGATGATGGATGACATGCTGGAGAAGGCAGGAGTGGATCAGCAGAGTGAGGAGCTGACAGAGCTCTCACAGGTAGGCAGACGGACAAGCAGAGAGTACACAGTCTGCTGACACTAGTTCTGTGCATTTATGTTGTTGTGTTTTCATTTTGTTAAAAGTTTATATGGAAAATGAATGTACTTGGAGATTCTTCTAGAATAATATCCACCTATAAATATTGGAAACAGTGCAATGATATGTCTGCAGATGGAGGGTTTGCTGGAGCTGGTGCAGGTTGAGCAGAACATCTACAACATTGTTTTCCATGAACTGATAAGGCAGGTCAGCGTGGGCTGTGCTGAGAGAGGACAGCTGCTAGCAAAACTCAGGTAAGCATCATATTAATAAAGATTAATAAATGGTAACTATATGAGCCTTAAAATCATACTATAGAAATATGGATGTAAATAAGGAATCAAAAGATGAAACACAAATCTGCAAATGTATTATCCCCATGTTATCACAACTCAAAACATATTTTGAGAAATTTCACATTTTCAGAAAATATTTTCTATGACCCTAGGAAGCCTTTTTCCCAGCAGCTCTTTTGTTTTTGTGTCCAGACAGCGCTACCAGACGCTGCTCCAGCGAATCCCCAGTCGTCTGAAGGCTCTGCACACTGAGGCCGTGGCACAGCGGGCTCTGGACCGCCGGCTCACTGAAGAAATCCACCGCATCAAGAGATCCATCCAGCAGCTCAACGCGTACGTAGGCCTGCAGGGCCATGATGATTTAAATAACTCTTTGCTGGGAACATAGAGTGATTATTTTACAAAATAAATAATAAAATGAAAAATAAGATATGTTTTAGGGCACATGTTTATGTTTATGGATGTGCAATTTCTTCACAGGGAACTGTCTAGAATCAGAGACCATGATGACTCCGTTTCCCAGCAGGCAGAGTGTGCTCACCAACAGCTGGCTGGAGCGCTTGAGCAGACTAATATCAACTCAGAGTTAGTCCCACTGAACTGGTGTTCATTCAGTCAAAGACACTTTTTCTTCACGTTGATGCATTCCAAAATTCTGCTTATTTTTCTAATAAAATATGTGATTATATTCACGCAACAGTCATTTGGGCGTTGTTAAAAAAAAAGCAAAACACTACAGTAAATAGAAATACTACAGAAGCATTACTCAATACTCATACATGTCTAAGATACCAGACCTTTTAAATGGTCCATGTGCCCTTCTCAGTGTGGTCCAGGGTTACCATGAGCTGTACGACCTGCAGAGGGGTCGCCTGGAGGCTCAGCTGCTCCAGATGACGGAGGAGAGGGACTGCTGGAGCCAGATCACATTCTGCCTGGCCCTCGAGGTGTGTGAGCCATGATCTAGTTTTTATTTTAATTGGACTCATGTACTTTTATGCTGATTAGAAAATAGGTTAACTGACTTTGTTTGCAGAATCACAAGCAATATAATCATTATTGGACTCTCATTTTATATTCACATATGGCCCTTATGCTGCTCACTACAATTTATGGATGTTAAGGATTCATTTGTTCTGTGCTCTTCAGGTGATCAGTGTGAAGAAGCTGCAGCTGGTCAGTCAGCTGCATATCATGGAGCAGAGTTGGTTTAAGACGGCAGAGCACTGCAGCCTCAGCATTGCTTTGAAGGTAACAATGCACTTCCTATTTCTTAACACATGGCAAAACACCTAGTGGCCCTGATGACTCATCAGAAATATCCCTGGTGTTTCAATTACACTCTGATTATATTGGTGACCATCCCTCTGTAGGACACAGAGGACATGAATGCCATAATGAAGCTCAGTGACTACTGGAAAGAGCAGCTCACTGTGTTTATGTCCCAGCTGAAGAACACTGAGCATGCTCAGTGTGAACAGATCAGTGCCATCCAGCAAGGCATTGCTAAGTGTCTGGACTCCTGCGCCACAAAGAACAAGTAAGGACAAGCAGAGATCATACCCCACCTGTTAAGAAATAAGGATTTTCTGGAAAACATTTATTATTATTGT